CTTGTTGTCAACATAAATATTTATAGGACCTTCAACTTGAATACGAATTTGACTTAGCACATTACGCAACCAGATTGCTTGACAAGCACTCGACGCAGCTGTTACATACTCCGCTTCATAAGTTGAGAGTACAACAATTGACTGCTTCTTCGATGACCATGAAAATGCGGTGGTGCCAAAATTAAAGACATAACTAGAAGTGCTTTTACGATCATCATGTTCTCCACTCCAATCATTATCAAAATAGCCTACAACATCACAATTGTTAGATGAAGAATAAAACAAATCATAATCATAAGTCTCCTTTAGATACCACATAATTTTCTTTGTAACTTGTAGATGAGATTGACAATGAGCCTTCAAATATCTGCTGATTAAACCAACTTCATAGGCTATAACTTGCCTTGTGCATGTGAGATATCTCAAACTCCCAACAATTTGCTTGAAATAGGTAGGATAAACCTGTGCACCATCACCTTATTGTGATACTTTAGTACCAACCTACAAAGATATTCTAACAGGATTGCAATCAAATATCTAAAATCTCTTCAACAACTCTGCATAATACCTCCTTTGACATATGAAAATCCCATCATCTCCTTGAACTACTTCAATTCTAAGAAAATAAGACATCAAGCCAATATTTGTCATCTTAAATTCATATATCATCGACTTCTTAAAATCTTCAATCATACTAATATTTTATTGCCCGTAAAAATCAAGTCATCAACATAAAGGCATAATAGTAGTATATGACCAGAGTTGTTTATCTTCACATATAAGGCATGCTCGGAGGGGCACTTCTTAAATCTACTTTCTTAAAAGAAAGAATCAATTCTTTTGTTCCATGCTCGCGGCGCCTGCTTCAGCCCGTACAAGGCTTTTCTCAACTTGTATACTTTATACTCACATCCTTTCTTTAAAAATCCAGGTGGCTGCTTCATAAAAACTTCTTCTTCAAGTGGCCCATTAAGAAAACCCGACTTCACGTCCATCTGATGAATTTTCCAATACTTCTGTGAAGCAAGGGAAATTATTAGTCTTACAGTTTTAATTCTAACAACAGGGAAAAATACCTCTTGGTAATCATAACCAGGTCTTTGCTCGTAGCCTTTCACCACCAATCTTGTTTTATGCCGCTCAACCTTGCCGTTCGTCTTAATCTTCATCTTGAAAACCTACTTCACATTAATTGATTTATGCCCTTGCAGGATATTAGTAAGCACCCACATGCCGTTCTTCTCTATCACCTTTATCTCTTCTTTCATTGTATTTATCCACTTAGGATATTGAATAACCTTTTCAAACATAACTGGCTCACAAGCTGCAAACATTGCAAAGTGTACTATATCTCTATCTACATCAACATCATCATCTGGAGTTACTTCATAATCTCTCAAGAGAATTGATGGTTTGTGATATCTTCTTGGTCTTTCAACTTCTAATGGAACTTGCAGGGTTGCAGCTTCAGGAGCATTGGTCGGTGGTGCTTCTTCGATTGCAACAGGGACACCATCTTTAAGAATATCAAGGAGAGTATGTCGTGAATTATTTTGTGCTTCTAGATCCCAATTCCAAGCTTCTTTTTTTAGCAAACATAACATCTCTGCTTACAATCACATTCATTATAGTAGGATTGTAGAGTTTGTAGCCCTCAGACTTGTAGCCAATAAACATTATCTTCTCGCTTCTGTCATCAAGTTTTTTCTTCTTTTTGCTAGAATATGAGCATAAGCAATGGAGCCAAACACTTTGAGATGTCTTACACTTGGTTTATAACTAGTCCACGCCTCTTTAGGAGTAAGATTATCAACACGCTTTGTTGGTAACCTATTCAACAAGTATACAGTGCGTGAGACAGTTTCACCCTAAAAACAATTAGGTATATATTTGGCCTTTAGCATGCTTCTTGCCATGTCAAGTATCGTCCGGTTTTTCCGTTCAGCGACGCTGTTATGTTGAGGTGTGTTTTATTCCTTATTCTACACAATACTTATTAAACTTTTTAGAAGTATATTGATCTCCTCCATCTCTTCGTAGCACCTTGATAAAGTAATTGCTTTCCTTCCCAACTAGGGCTTTAAAGCTTTTAAAATAATCAAAGACTTTAGATTTTTGTTGTGAAAGTAGACCCATATTTTCCTTGTGAGATCATCAATAAAAGTAATGAAGTGTCGATTATTGCCATTAGATATAGTGTTCATAAGACCGCACACATCTGAACGAACGAGCTCAAGAGGCTTCTTTACATGCCAAGTATTTTTAATACCAAAGGATGATCTATGCTGCTTTCCAAGAATGCAACCTTCACACAACTGCTCGGGATGATCTACAATGGGCAAGCCTCTCACCAAATTTCTTTGAGCAAACAACTTCAGACTGTGAAAATTTAGATGTACAAACCGAAGATGCCATAACCAAGACTCATCTTTCATAATAGCATTAAAGCAATGATAAACATCATTCTGGATGTCAACTCGAAACATGCGATTACTTTTCATAGGGGCTTTAATGATAAATACATCTCTTTTATCAAAGATTAGGAGTTGAACACCAGAGAAGCGTAGATCATACCCCTTTTCAAGAAGTTAGCCTATACTGAGTAAATTGTTTTTCATATTCGACACATAGAATACATTGGAAATAAACTTGTGGTCTCTGTTCTTCAGCTTGATTAGAACTTGCCCTTTTCCCATCACTGGTATAGTGTTGTCATCAGCAAACTTGACTTTGGACCGCATTTACTCATCCAGATCCATGAACAACTCCTTCTTTCTGCACATGTAATTAGAACATCCAGTGTTAAGAAACCATATGTTGTAGTTTGATTATTCACCGACTGTCATGACCATCAATAATGTATGGTTGTCTTCATCACCTCTTTTTTATGCAAATCGAACTTCTTCTTCGGATTGGGAATTATCCTGATCCTTGCACTCCTTTGCATAGTGGTCATATCTGTGACATATGTAACATTCACTGTTTGATTTATTAAAATTTTCTCTACCACGTCGCATAGTGGTCATATCTGTGACATATGTAACATTCACTGTTTGATTTATTAAAATTTTCTCTACCACGTCCAAAGCCTCGACCTTGACCTCCATATGTAACATTCACTGTTTGATTTATTAAAATTTTCTCTACCACGTCCAAAGCCTCGACCTTGACCTCGACTTCGACCTCGATAATTTGAATTTGATTGATAATTGCTTCTCTAATTACCGTCATCTCTTCGATTGTTATTATAACCGTCACGTCCTTAACTATTGTAGAATCCGCATCCTCGGTTGTTGTAGTTCCCGTATCCTCTTCCTCTGCCACATGAATTTCCTCCTCGATGGTCTCTTTCATACTGCGGTCCTTTGTTATTCTTATAAAAGCTTGACTTTGAAAAGCTTCTCAAGGGGCTTCTCGGTTGATCTCTCGTTCATGCGTTGCTCGTGAACTTGTAATTAAGGTACCCATCAACTCATCAACTATCATCCTGGACAAATCCTTTGATTCTTCAATTGCCACCACGATATGATCAAATTTTGCTGTAAGAGATCACAATATCTTCTCCACAATTGCTAAATCTGCAACCTTCTCCCTGTTTATTTTTATTTAATTTGTCAAAGCAAGTACTCTAGTCATGTAATCTGCGACACTTTCAACGGGTTCTATTTGTAAAATTTTAAATTGACGTCTCATTGTTTGAAGCCTAATTTTTTTTACCAACTCCATGGTACGATGTCTCCAAAATATCTCATGCTTGCTTTGCTGTAGTTGCTCCCTCGATCTTCTCCAAAGCTGAATCATTCACTCCTTGATGGATGTAGACTAAAGACTTTTGATCCTTCTTCTTGATCTCATCGTGGGCTTTCTTCTCGACTTCACTTGCGCTATCTGCGAGATCGGCAATTCTGTTCTCTACAACACCCAATATATCTTGATATTCAAACAACACCTTTATCTGCACTCTCCACCAGTGATAATTCTTCCCATTCAATATAGGAATAGAAGGCGAAGTCATCCCATTTAGATTGTTCATGGCTCTAATACCACTGTTGGAACAATCAATAGCAAAGCAAATAGAAGTATAATATATATGAGGAGAGATTTAGTGAGAGAAGCAAATAAGAAATTCTTTTTAACATTTTATTACTGTAGCTACAGTACACAGATTTTTTTTTATCTCTGTCTATTTTTTCTCTTAGGTACAATGATGCATGAATGCCTATTTAAAGGCCTTACAAAGTGTTTCATAATAGAATTCTAGTATGACTATAACTTAACTCTAGATTGGGCCATGTTTCTCCTCCAACAGTGAAGAGGCCAATTCAATGCGAAAGAGATAATAGAAAAATACCAGATCAATGTTAAAAACACGATTACGAATACTATCAGAATGCCCAATACCGTGTGGGACGTTTCGAACTAAATACTATAATTTGGAGGGGGTAGTTTAGTTATTTCATTATCTCCTGTTTGCTCAACAAAACCCTGCACTGTGCGTGCAAGGTTTTGACAGAATTCCTACACTAAAAACACCCAACTTTAGTATTGTCTTAATATTACTATTACTATTGGAATGACAAGATTGACCTCATATTACTTATTCAAAACAAAATTGAGACATCTAGTACGCGTTGCTATTTTATCATTCTGCTAAATGTATAAATAGCATCGAAGAAGTATAACTCTTATTGTAAACCTAATTTTTTCATTAAACACGATCAGGATTCATTTCATATAAATAGCATCACGCTTATGAATTGCAAATCACGCTTATGAATTGCAAATAATCTTGCATTCTTATCTTATTAGGAAAATTTTGAAAATATCGTCCAACACCCTCAACTTGTTTATTAGCATCTACCTTTACTGAGTGTTGACATTTTCAGAATAATAAATTGCAAATAACCCTCATCTTTTCCATGAACAATTGAGTGACAACAAGCATTATAAAACAAGCCAAACAACAATAATTACTCATTTGCAACTTGTCCTTAAAAAAAATATTTTCTCTATTTCTCAAAGCTGAACAATCAATAGCTACTCATTTGCAACTTGGCCTTAAAAAAAATATCTTGTCTATTTCTCAAAGCTGGCCCTCACAAGTCGCAAACCTTTAAAAGCGTAGCAAATATACGCTTAGTATAAACCCAAAGTAAGCAAAGGCAATGAAACCAAAAACCATGACGCATCCTTAAACACAGACACAATCACCTCGCGATTCGATCCCCTCAAACAAACTAAATGTCGACCCAAGACTCCCAAGACTCCTCCCACTGGCGCTACGCCGACGTCGACGACCGCAACTTCCACCTCCACGGCCGCACCCTCCTCCTCCTCGTCGTCCTCCTAGCACTCCTCCTCTTCTTCACCCTCTTCTGCATCTACGTCCGATGGGCCTGCCGCGCACGTGATTCGGGAAGCGCGCACAGCTGGCCAGGACGAAACCCTGTGCGGGCTCGGCCGGGAGATGTCATCGGACAAGCTTGCCCGTGCAG